ATGCTATTGAAGATTTCTGTACTAGGTATGTGGCCTTCTCTTTTTCTTTAACAGTTTTATTGAGATATAATTCACATGCCATATGATTCATCCTTGTAAAATATGCAATCCAATGGTTTTTTAATGTATTCTTAGTATATTCCCAAGGTTGTGTGACCATCACCACAACCAATTTTAGAACGTTTTCATCACCCACCACACCCCCCCCCAAAATATCCATGCTATCAGTCATCCCCATCCCCCGCACCCTCCCTGCACCAGACAACCACCAGCCAATTTCCCTTCTCTCTAGACGTGCCTGCTCTGGCTTCCCTCACGGCCTCGCGGCTGTAGGTCGCCCTGCTGCAGTGTGTGTCCGCACGTCATCTCTTTTGCTGCAGAATAATATTCCATTATGTAAATGCAGCGTATTTTATTTACCCATTCATCAGCAGGTGGGCATTTGGGTTTGTTTCCACTTTGTGACTATTTATGAACATCCATGTACAATTTTTTATAAGGACGAGTTTTCGTGTCTTTTGGGTAGGTACCTAGGAGAGAAAATGCGGGGCCCCCTATGTTTAATCTTTGGTACCTGCCAGGCTGTTTTCCAAAGGAGTACCCCATTTTACATCCCCATCAGCAACGTCTGAGGCCCCAATCTCTCCACATCTGCGTCAGCACTTGTCACTGTCTCTCTTTCAGGATCGTAGGCAACCTTGCTGGTGGGGACTGGTATCTCCTTGAGGTTTTGACTCACATTTCCCTCATGGCTAATCATATTGTGCCGGGAGCCAGTCCATCCTTGCTGTTTCAAGGCACCTGGCATATATGGCATACTGTTCTTAATATGTTTGCTCACCTTCTTGGCACTATGTGTTTTAACCAAGGTCACCTCTCCAAGAAAGGTTGTTTCCCCAGGTAGGGATTTTCCCCTGAAGTTAGGGAGGGAATAAAACCCCTTACTGGCAACAGAACCTAGAGACAGAACCTAGCGAGAGAACTTAGGTGAAGGTCCTAGAGACAGAACCTGGCTACAGAACCTGGATAGAACATGGCAAGAGAACCTGGCTAGAACCTGGACAGAACCTGGCTGGAGAACCTAGCAAGAGAACATGGACACAGAACTTGGCTGGAGATCCAAACCAGAACCTCTCTGGAGATCCAGACCAGAACGTGGCTAGAGGAACCTGGCTATGATGATCACCCGAAGGCTGCCTCTGTGTCATTCCTTCTTCGCCGACTCCGTCCACACCTTTCGGGACCCGTGGACCTGCTGGGGTTTGACCCCAGCAATATTGAGCATCTTCTCATGTACTTCTTGGCCATTTTTTGAGAAATTCAGTCCCTCTGCTCATTTTTAACTGGATTATTTGTCATTTTATTATTGAGTTGTATGTGTTCTTTATATATTTTGCATACAAGTACCTCATATACATCTTTTTTCACATATTTTCTCCTATTCTGTGATTAGTCTTTCTAATTTCTTGGTGATAATCCTTTGAGGTGTCAGAGTTTTAAATTTTAATGAATTTAATTTTTTTTAATTTTTAAATTAAAAAACTTCTCATCTAATTTTTCTTTTGTTACTTGTGCTTTTCTGTCATATCTAAGATCATAAAGATTTCATCGTTTTCTTTCTTAGAGTTTTATAATTTTCACTCTTACCTTTTGAGTTTATTTATGTGTCATTCTCTTGCATATTGACATCTAATAGTTCCTGTTGTTGAAAAGCTGGTCTCTCCCCTCTGAATTACCTTGGCGCCCTTGTCAAAATTAATCGACTGTAAATGTGAAGATTTATTTTGCACTCTCAGTTCTATTCCACTGATGTATGTATCTGTCCTTATGTAGTACCACACTGTTTTGATTGCT